AGAAGGAGTTTCAGAAAGCTTTGATAGCTTCTGCCTCGACCCAACTAACATAAACTCAGTTTTAGTCAAGTTAAGGGTCAGTTTGTTAGCCGATAGCCATATATACACCTTGTTTAAATCGTCGTTAACGCAGTCATTTATGAGTTTTAAATCTGCGCTGGCATAGGTTAGGCTGGTGTCATCGGCATGCATTCTAGGTTGTGAAAAATGCAAGCAATTAGGTAGGTCATTAATATGCAGTATACTGGTCAGGTTAAACTAAAGCATTCAAAATAGCTCATGCACGTTAAACGTGTCTATGTTTCATAGAGGGAGGCGTGTGTGATGATAAATCTGAATGAAACTAGGCAGGGAAAATTCACATGTATTGTTGGTTGTTTCTTAGTTTTCAGTTTGACATTGTGAAGTCATAAATGGCTTCCAAATATGTCGCCAAACTAACAAATTGAGAAAATCACATAAACTTGCATTGTTCTGTGATCAAAATGAAGCTTTCCAGTGAAAAAAAAATTAAAATCAGGGGATAAAGTTACAACCTGTTTTAATAAAAGAGAGAATGTGACAAATTTAATTGTCTTATCATCATCAAATCCTTTATTTATTAAAACACGATAAAAATTAAAGCACAATTACCATACATTGGTCAGTAATAGTTTTAGGGGTATTTCCAGTTCAGTAAGATGAGTCGGAAAATTGAAAACTGGAGAAAATTTAAAGGATGATACAATTACATTAGCCTGCAAGAATGCAAGAGAGCGATACCGTTATTATATAGAGCTTTGTTTGGTTCTTAGGTATAAGACAATACCATGGTAAAACAAGTGTGATTCAATGCCACCTTAGACTTTCAAAATAATTTCCATTTTCCTCGGAGGTTCCAAAAATCAGGGTTCTACTGTATTATATATTTTGTTTTCCCAATTGTGGCTCCACTCCCCCCCCCGGGGGCGGGGGTACTCTCCTAAGAAAGTGACTGAGGTGCTCGTCTTACCTTTTAGGGGTTTAAATTTGTGGATTGGTACCGGTTAGGGTGAACCTGAAATGACTGCTGCCAGAGTAGCCTGCGTAGCAAGCGTTTCCAATCGAGTTATTGAATTGCGCGAAAGTTAGAGCGGAAGCCAAAAAAAAGTCATTCATTTTTTTTTGGCTCTTGTCCCAGTTTTCTAGATGAACCTCGCGAGGAAACGCTTGCTACGCAGGCTACTGCCAGAGTTGTCTCGGTAAGATTTATGACAATACTTTCAAAAAGTCGAAAGTTATCTTCATTACTATTAGAATTTGCAGTGCCAGTTATATAATTTGTTGTTGTTGAATTGGTACCTCCTACGGGTGGAAATGAGTTTCGGCAGGAGCCCATGGTTTCGGATACGTCCATAAAACAAGATTCTGGTGCCTTTTTAGGGGTGTTCTCCCGTCACTTTTATAGAGGAGTAACCCCACCCCTCCCCCCCCC